CGGATATCTGATTATCCTTTTTCCTTAATACAAATACGATCGTCTCGACGTAGTCAAATATTTTTAAAAGAAAGAAGTACCATGCGCACCTAGTTAACTGCAATAAAATTCAGACATTATCAATTTGCGGTGTATTATTTTATGAAACAAATTCTGAATAACTAAGTATGTGAGCGATTTATAGCATTATTAACTACATTGACATAGGTAAATATTTGATACTTTAAGTTTACAATGCTTACATAAAACTTAGATGAAAATATATGCTATTAACAAAACTTTTCTTTTTTTTTCTAATTTATTCTTCATTCTCCTGACAAAATTTAGTTAAAGATTTCATTACTGCATTACTTTGACAAAAATGTAATATAAATTGATACGGAGAATTATAGAGAAGTACTTTTTTCTCAGTATTACACTTCTAAATAGATACCTGCTGATGGCATAAATTTTCGCAAAAAATGGCTTATTTAAAAATTATTACCCTCATTGGAGTATAATTGTAGGAATAATCAAATATAGGACACACAAATAAATGGGTTGAGAATAAACCAGCGTCAATAATGTCATATATTAACCACACATTTGCTAATATTTGGCCAATATTGTACAACTTCATGAACGTCGTTAATGAGTATGGCGGCCTGTTCTTCATGAACCGAGGCCCACAGCCAAGCACGAAGTACAAATATCCAAATACTACAAGTGGTATTTGATAGGAAGAACTGACTAGCGGTAGATCGGCTACTCGTGGATCTGAAAATCAAATTAGTATATAGAAATATATTTGGACACACACACGCGCAAACACACACACACACACACACACACACACACACACATCAGTATTTGAAATACATTTTATTAAATGAAGCAAAACAGAAATATTGTTATTGCAATAAAAAGCAACTGAATATGAAAAGACGTTGCATTCTGATCAATACTTAAGGTTTTTTAACGTATATAAAATGTAATTGAATCGACACTACAGTAATGTCCGAATTGGTAAATGGATTATATTTTGAAGATTATTCGTTAATTTACAATGTTATTGTTCCATGCATTCTTCACATTTATCGCTGAAACTGTTATATTATATCTATTTCATACATTATATTTTACATTTACTTTAGAATTCTGCAAATTTGAAAATTTTAATCATAAAATATCTTTTTTTTTTGTAATTATATGACAAGTTTGACATTTGATAATGTTAATGCGAAGTTTTTTCGCAACGTTTTCGGGAGTGAGATTTTTCTCAAGAATTGTAAATTGTTACTAAAGTTCGAATGGTTGCACTATAATTATTAATATAATTTGGCGAGCTTTTGCTAAACAATAATGTCAACGGTACTTACCGAGCTGTTTCGTCCAGTAACAAGATATGTCATGTAAGAGATCCATGATGGACAATTGTACTGTGTCGATCTTATAAATCGCTACTTTTGTTATACAACAAAATATCCGTTTAACTACTATACGTTTCCTTATATTGCAGAGCTGCCGCACCTGACGAACCAATTGTACAAAATCGTCTAACACGTACAGTCATTTAACGCTTTTTTATATTGTTAGTTACCTTGCACTTTGCACTTGATTTGGCAACTTGATTTAAGAATTTTGCTATAACGTGACCTCATGACCTCGTGACGATTATACAGGGTAATCCAGAGAGCATCCATACGCTAGCTATTTTCTCAAAAATATGACGTTACAGTAAGTTAGAAAAAAAATTTCATTACTAATGGGCGCGCAAATAATCATTGGTGATGGTACTATTTTTTGGGATAAACCAGAAGTAAGTGTAACTGGGATCATAGTTTTGAAATTTCAAATAGAAACATGGATCGAGTAGGGTATCGTTGGATAGAACTTTGGGAAAGAAACAACTTCTATTAAAATTCATTTCAATTATCTCTTACAGATTTTGAGAATAGTTATTTGTGTAACAAGTGCCGTAAGATGAAAGAAAATTCCCGGGTGCGGTTACCGCACTCGCCTTCGACTCGTGCGTAAACTCCGCACCCGGGAATTTTTATCTTTACGCGCGGCTTACGCACCCTATTTTATGTTGCAAGTGCCTGGAAAGTGGTCTATCACACACGCGTAGCGTGCGTAATGGGGCACTTTCCATGCACGTGTTGCATAAAAACGTTTAAATATGTGGACGCCTGCAATAATTTACAAGAAATTTCAAAACTGGTCCCAGTTACACCTACTTACGGTTTGTCTCGAAAAATAAAACCATTACCAACTAATTACTTTAGATGTTCATTAGTAATGAAAATTCGAATTCTTTCTCGTTACTTCCTGTGCCGTCACATTTTTGAGAAAAACGGCTGGCCCGGGTCCTTTGAATCACCCTGTATAACACGATGACAGACAGAATTGTTAAGTACAATTTTAAGTGAAGTGAAGTGAAGTGAACAAGTGAAGTAAAAGGTGGGCCTTGAGAGGACAACGCAGTTAATATGTTAATGTTGGTTATCATGTTATAAGTTAACGCTATGACAATCTTTAATTACTAATAAGATATATAATTGTAAATCGAATGTTTAGGTTCTGCTTTAAGCTACCATCAGCGATGTGGCAACAGTTAAATCAAAATAATCTCCCGTTCTCCGGTAAGCAATAGATAAGCACTTCCAAGTTTAGTGGTCTAAAAATAGCGTAATTTCGAGCAAGAAAATCCAAGTAAAATTTGACTAATGATCACAATTTGTAATATGGTTAAAACAAAATTGACAGTCAGAACTTGAATAACAAAAAGAAGTAAAGTCCATCCAGGCAGTTCAGAGAATGCGAGAATAAACATTGAACCTGGTAAAAAAAACATCGAAAAGTAATACAATTTATAAGCAGAGGTAGTCATTACAATTGAGACAATTTTGCATTTAAAGGATAGTCATTTTAAATCATGATTTATAATTATGTACCTTATTCGTAATTGAAGATTGTTATCATGTTAACCTACGCACTGATAACTGTAGTACTTTCCAAGTCCGCCTTTTACTTTACATGTTAATTTCATCATCAAGAGTTCCTAGTTGTTTATACTTATTTAATTTTATTTTAATAAAATTATAATTATACGGTTTTTATACTGCATCATAATATGAACGATCATTAAGCTGATTTATTAAGATTATTTTAAGTAATGATATCGACAAAATTTAATTTTCATACAAATTGCTGTGAAGTTTTTATTATTATTTTTTTTTTCTAACTAGTTTAATCAAGCGAGGCATCGGCATTTCTAAACATTAGCCGACAGATCAGTAGGTGCCTCTCGATTTGAAAGACGTAAATAATTTAGTGAAAACTCGAATATGATCGGACCGAGCAGGGCCAGGCAGAGTTATCCGTCCGTCGGCCAGTATTAATCTTCTTCTTTTGTATATATTTTATTTTCTTTATTACGTTACTTAAAATTTTTACCGGAACATTATTATCGCTATTTAAGTATTTCTATAATTTTGGGGGTTCAGTCAGAATTAATGTGAGCTGGCGCTATGAAGGATAATGAACGATAACGATAAAAGTTACTGCGAACAATATCCGCGACGAAAGACTACGAATTATTTCGCACGAGAGCGAGTTATTTCGACAAGTTGGGTTGTAATGGATTGTGATTTTCGGGCGAGAAGTAACAAGTGAGGGATAATAGGGAACGAACATGAAAAAAACTGTGAACGAATTTTACAGTCAATAAGTTAAAAGAAATATTGCGAGAGATGAGCCTATCAACAGCAAATATAAAAATTGAACTGATAGTGACAATTATGGATAAAGATCCGACAGACGAATGGATCCTGCGAGTAGCAGGAGAAAGAGGAGGAAGACGAATCGAGAATTTTGAGAACACGAGCGTGCCAAATGCAAACAACGAACGATCCCAAATATTTTTTACGTTAAATAGAACTTCGAAAAGAAAAAGAAGTGATGGAACGAGAGCTTTTGGTGGCACGACGAGAGATCGAGTTATTGAGACGGTCGCAAAACGCGAATAAGCGCGAGTAGAGTAAAATGGAAACAGTAGATCAGGTGTGCACAGTGAATGATTCGTTCTTTGATCGAGTGCAAAGAATGGATTGATATTGCTGTCTTTTTCTATTTACGAAACGGATCCGACAAATAAAGACTTGCATTAGCACTCTCGCGCGTGCGGTGACGGACACACGTTTCGGGAGCAGATCTTGTGTTTTTCGATGTCAAAATTTTTATCCGAGATGAGTATTTTTTGTTTGTTTTTTGGAGGGGTCAAAAGTATTGAGTAACAATTTTTTTTCCTTTTTTTTATTTATGTTTATTTATTGCTATTTTACAATTATATAACTATCAGTAAATAAGTTTATGGTTTTTCAGTATTACAGTTTGAAGCTGGTTATGACAGTCAAAACGAAATTTGAGATCAGATTCTAGGGTCAAGACGGTCGAGTGTAGAAATTAAATATTATTTATCTAGAAACGAAATATTACATTTGCGAAATATATATTAAGATATAGACAGTTAAATTGAGCAAGCTGTATAGGTATTTCTAAACATTAACCGGCAAGTCAATACATTGACGAACAATATACGTCCTTCGATTCGAGAGATGTGCTAAACGATTTAACGAAAATTCAGATATGATCGGCGAATTGAGCATGATCAGGTAAAATTTTCACACACAGATACGTACGATTAAATATGCGTGGTTCTATTGTAAATGAACTGAATGTCTATACAGTGAAATTCTTTTTTGTGCTGCTTTCTCACGTGATTGCGTTTGAGTGAAAAAGAGAAAGCATTACAATACTTGATTTTGTCAGTCGAAAATGATTTAAACAATATTTTTGTTTTGCCTATGTGTGTGTGTGCTATTAGAACTATAATGAATAACACTGTTAAAAAAAAATTGCAAGAACGTAGGTAATCATTTCCTGTAATTTTTTAGGAGACGAATACGATGTGCATTTATCAAATTGCTCTATCACATTATTGTCATTACATATTTGAAAAATTTGTGCTTAAAATTGCAACAAGGATTATTTTTATGTTTTATATATTATAACTCTAATGTATGACGCGTTGGAGAAGTTTCATTGCAATAAAAATTAAGTATATTGTTAAGATTTTCAGTTTTTAAAAGAAATTTGTTGTAAGGATTGATTTAAATTTAAGAAACTAGTACTAATATATTCGATCTGTTTTATTAAACTTGCGACTTTATATTGGCCATTCTCCAAAGTATTTTTTAATTATAATATTTAAAAAACTACGGAAATGATTATCTTTGGCTTGTACTCGAAAAAAATTATTTTTTGTTGAACAGTGTGACATGTAGAAGAGTAAGAAAATAACTTATAATAGAGAGACATTGATATCAATAATTTTATCGGATATTTTGTTGTATAGAAGTACTCTTGCAATATATATTTTACAATCTACTGAACTTTTTTAACTTCCTTGTATGTCTTCTGATAGAAATTATGGAACATGAAGAAATTTATTACTACATTTCCAACGAATAACACGACAACATAATTATTTACGATTTCGCAATCTTTCAGCACGTATTTTTGCGATGCGTACAAGATTAACACGACGAATTGTATCTGGAAATAAAGCGATTCAGTTAATTTATCATTTTATTTTGATATCCTCGACGGGTATTTGTGTGATGCGATTTACATGATGCATATTTAAACTTAATAGTATATATGACGAAACGAATTATTATAATCAACGATCGAATTAATAAAAAAAAAATATTTTTGAGTGTCGAGAATTATTAGATCGAACATATGAAACAATTTAAAGAGAAAAGGAATTACGCGATATGAAAAATGTAGTGGAAAGTTCGGATAAAATTTACCATTTGCGCTATAGTTATCCATCGTTTCAGAGGTGTGACAGCCTTTTGAACGTTCGATCCCCAGGCCGCTAGGAAGTAATATGTGTACATGATCGTGTGTATGAAGCAGTTAATTATACACGTCAGTACCATGGGAGCAACGGCGTAAAATCTTATACCTGCCCATGACAAAAGTAAGGTAGACACATGATGATACAAATGCAAACCGGATATCTGATTATCCTTTTTCCTTAATACAAATACGATCGTCTCG